ATGGGGAGTGTGAATGCTGAGTACAAATGCAATTCTCCTTGTTTGTTAGTTAGCCAATATAACTGTAAGTTGATTGTAAATCCAATGTAGTTACCTAGAAGCTGGATGTCTGTATGTCTCAATGTTGTTCTGTAAAAGTTCTGATACCTTTCTCTTACTGGAAAATTGCAACAAAAGAACCCATGCTTTAAAGTTATTGAAAAGGTATTCATAAACCTCTCCCTGCTTTTTTTCTGGAGGGAAAGTGCTCCAGGCCGCTGAGCAGACACAGGGCTCCCTGGGGCCAAAGGCATGGGGCTCCTCTTGGGGGCCCTCCAAGGCGCAAGGGGTCAATGGCGAGAGAGGCCCACCTGACTGACTGGTTGGCCAGAATCCCCTCCACAGCCTTTCCAGGCGCTTTTCCTGGTAAATGCCCCTTACCCTAACACAAGAGAGTTGTTCTAGCAGCAAGGACCGGGCGCCAGGTGTGCCGCTCACTCACCCCTTTCTCCCCTCGGCCTTTGGAATTGAACTTGACCGTCTTGAGCCGAGCACGCTCTTTCTTCTCGACCCTGATGGGAAAGAGGCAGAGAAAGGAAAAGCCTTATTTGCAGCTCCAGGCGCAGGTAGCCGCGTTGGGCCAGTTACGGAAGACGACGACCATGGGTGCCATTGGGGCCTCCAGGCACTGCAGGGAGGGCAGGTCACCTTCCATCAGGCCAGCAGCAAAGCCAAGTGCAACGCCGCCTCCAAGGAAGACCCGCCGCCCTCCTGTGCTTGCCCTCTGCACCCCAGGAAGGTCCTGCTTGGCCCTGGTACCTCAGGCGGGCAAGGAGGAGGGCCACAGCTCCACCCCCACCGATGGCCAGGTGAGGCCCCGCCCCCTCTACTGCCCCTCTGCCCACCTGCGCTTGCTGGGGATGACGCCGACCTCCTCGCCCTCGCCGCCCGGGACCACCAGCCGTGCCTGCCACCATTCGTCATCGGAGGCGTTGAGGACGTGGAGGATGTCCCCAAAGCGGAAGTTGAGCCCCTGGCTGGGCAGGCCACTGTCTTTCATCTTGTCGTAGTCAAAGAGGGCCCTGCGCAGGGGGAGGAGCAGAAGGAGCAGGAGGGTTAAGGGGGAAAGACGCCCACCACGTGCCTGGCCCCACACCTGGCTCTGCTGGTACATACAGACAGGGGCACATGCTGGGCCTTCCTCCCTGGCACATCAGCCTCATGGATCTCCCTCCTCTGATGTCCACCACATTGCACCCAAACAGACTTACCGCCCCTCCCACACCAGGCCCACCAAGTGATCTGTGCTTTCCCCCCCCCCTCTTCTCTATCACAAGGTGGTTGGCCGGGGGGGGGGGGCCCCACCCCGGCCCCCCCCCCCCGGCCCACCAGAAGGAGACGGGTGGGGAGCAATCCCTTCTGAGGGTCTCCCACCAATCAGAGGCTGTGCTGCCTGTTAGAGAAAACTACCCTAAACTATAGCAGAGCATCCAAAAACAAACAGGACACAAAAAGTTGAGCATCAGCTCATTGGCATGACCGCATCTCCATATACGAACCCACACGATCCCTTCGATCATCTGGAGAGGCCCTGCTCTCGATCCCACCAGCATCGCAGGCGCGATTGGTGGGGATGAGAGAGAGGGCCTTTTCGGTGGTGGCCCCTCGACTCTGGAACTCACTCCCTAAAGACATCAGACAGGCCCCAACTCTGGCAGTCTTCAGGAGGAGCTTGAAGACATGGCTGTTCCAGTGTGCCTTCCCAGAATAATGATCCCGTAGCACTTTGTCCTCCAAAGCACTTTATATTCCTTTAGGTCTGCTCGTATGCCCTTCCACAAATGCCACTATCACCTTCCATTCATGTCCCAACATTATTTCCAATTCTAACTCTACATTTGGCCTTCGCACAGTTTTTAATTGTGTGTTGTCTTATTGATAATGTTGTGTATTTTATTGTCTATGTTTTTTAATTGCTTGTATTGTTGTTATTATTGCTTGTATTGTTGTATTTGGGCTCGGCCTCATGTAAGCCGCACCGAGTCCCTTGGAGAGATGGTAGCCGGGTACAAATAAAGTGTTGTTGTTGTTATTGTTGTTATTATTATGATTATTGGCAAGCAGAGGGCGAAGGCGCTGTAAAGAATGAAGTGCTCAGGCAGGCAGAGGTGCAGAACCCAGCCTGAAAAACCTCCAAAGGTTTATTTACCAAAATAAGAAACCACTGCCTTTCTGAATAACCAAGAAGTGGGCCTGAGCGCCTCCAGCACCCATCTCTTCTCCGGTGTCAAGAGAGGGAGAAACCCCCTCAGGACACCTCTCCGGACACACAAGCAGAGAGAGATCTCAAAGCACACAGCTCGGGCGCAGGTGGAAAACTGTCAAGTCCGATTCTTAAAAGGCTTGCAGTAGAAAAGCCTCCATTCTTCACAACCCATCAGAATGAGAGAAGAAACAGAGAGAGAGGAACCAAACAGACACATGCCAACAGGAGACATGGGCAAAAGGAAAGGAGATTCCACCTGAACACGAGGAAGAACTTCCTGACTGTGACAGCCGTTCAGCAGTGGAACTCTCTGCCCCAGAGGGAGTGTGGTGGAGGCTCCTTCTTTGGAAGCTTTTAAACAGAGGCTGGATGGCCATCTGTCAGGGGTGCTTTGAATGCAATATTCCTGCTTCTTGGCAGAATGGGGTTGGACTGGAAGATGGCCCAGGAGGTCTCTTCCAACTCTAGGATTCTATGAGGCTGGATGGCCATCTGTCAGGGGTGCTTTGAATGCAATATTCCTGCTTCTTGGCAGAATGGGGTTGGACTGGATGATGGCCCAGGAGGTCTCTTCCAACTCTAGGATTCTATGAGGCTGGATGGCCATCTGTCAGGGGTGATTTGAATGCAATATTCCTGCTTCTTGGCAGAATGGGGTTGGACTGGATGATGGCCCAGGAGGTCTCTTCCAACTCTAGGATTCTAGAGGCTGGATGGCCATCTGTCAGGGGTGATTTGAATGCAATATTCCTGCTTCTTGGCAGAATGGGGTTGGACTGGATGGCCCAGGAGGTCTCTTCCAACTCTTGGATTCTATGAGGCTGGATGGCCATCTGTCAGGGGTGATTTGAATGCAATATTCCTGCTTCTTGGCAGAATGGGGTTGGACTGGATGGCCCAGGAGGTCTCTTCCAACTCTTTGATTCTGAGGCTGGATGGCCATCTGTCAGGGGTGCTTTGAATGCAATATTCCTGCTTATTGGCAGAATGGGGTTGGACTGGATGATTGCCCAGGAGGTCTCTTCCAACTCTAGGATTCTATGTGAGAGCTGTTCAGCAGTGGAACTCTCTGCTCCAGAGTGTGGTGGAGGCTCCTTCTTTGGAAGCTTTGAGAGGCTGGATGGCCATCTGTCAGGGGTGATTTGAATGCAATATTCCTGCTTCTTGGCAGAACGGGGTTGGACTGGATGATGGCCCAGGAGGTCTCTTCCAACTCTTTGATTCCATGAGGCTGGATGGCCATCTGTCAGGGGTGCTTTGAATGCAATATTCCTGCTTCTTGGCAGAATGGGGTTGGACTGGATGGCCCAGGAGGTCTCCTCCAACTCTTTGATTGTATGAGGCTGGATGGCCATCTGTCAGGGGTGATTTGAATGCAATATTCCTGCTTCTTGGCAGAATGGGGTTGGACTGGATGGCCCAGGAGGTCTCTTCCAACTCTAGGATTCTATGAGGCTGGATGGCCATCTGTCAGGGGTGATTTGAATGCAATATTCCTGCTTCTTGGCAGAATGGGGTTGGACTGGATGATGGCCCAGGAGGTCTCTTCCAACTCTAGGATTCTATGAGGCTGGATGGCCATCTGTCAGGGGTGATTTGAATGCAATATTCCTGCTTCTTGGCAGAATGGGGTTGGACTGGATGATGGCCCAGGAGGTCTCTTCCAACTCTAGGATTCTATGAGGCTGGATGGCCATCTGTCAGGGGTGATTTGAATGCAATATTCCTGCTTCTTGGCAGAATGGGGTTGGACTGGATGGCCCAGGAGGTCTCTTCCAACTCTAGGATTCTATGAGGCTGGATGGCCATCTGTCAGGGGTGATTTGAATGCAATATTCCTGCTTCTTGGCAGAACGGGGTTGGACTGGATAGCCCAGGAGGTCTCTTCCAACTCTAGGATTCTATGAGGCTGGATGGCCATCTGTCAGGGGTGATTTGAATGCAATATTCCTGCTTCTTGGCAGAATGGGGTTGGAGTGGATGATGGCCCTACTCTAGGATTCTATGAGGCTGGATGGCCATCTGTCAGGGGTGCTTTGAATGCAGTATTCCTGCTTCTTGGCAGAATGGGGTTGGACTGGATGGGCCCAGGAGGTCTCTTCCAACTCTAGGATTCTATGAGGCTGGATGGCCATCTGTCAGGGGTGATTTGAATGCAATATTCCTGCTTCTTGGCAGAATGGGGTTGGACTGGATGATGGCCCAGGAGGTCTCTTCCAACTCTAGGATTCTATGAGGCTGGATGGCCATCTGTCAGGGGTGATTTGAATGCAATATTCCTGCTTCTTGGCAGAATGGGGTTGGACTGGATGATGGCCCAGGAGGTCTCTTCCCACTCTAGGATTCTATGAGGCTGGATGGCCATCTGTCAGGGGTGATTTGAATGCAATATTCCTGCTTCTTGGCAGAATGGGGTTGGACTGGATGATGGCCCAGGAGGTCTCTTCCAACTCTAGGATTCTATGAGGCTGGATGGCCATCTGTCAGGGGTGCTTTGAATGCAATATTCCTGCTTCTTGGCAGAATGGGGTTGGACTGTATGGCCCATGAGGTCTCTTGGAACCTTTTAAACAGAAGCTGGATGGCCATCTGTCAGGGGTGCTTTGAATGCAATATTCCTGCTTCTTGGCAGAATGGGGTTGGACTGGATGATGGCCCAGGAGGTCTCTTCCAACTCTAGGATTCTATGAGGCTGGATGGCCATCTGTCGGGGGTGCTTTGAATGCAATATTCCTGCTTCTTGGCAGAATGGGGTTGGACTGGATGGCCCAGGAGGTCTCTTCCAACTTCTATGATTCTATGATTCTATTTTCTGTTCGTCATATTCCTGCTTCTTGGCAGAACGGGGTTGGACTGGATAGCCCAGGAGGTCTCTTCCAACTCTAGGATTCTATGAGGCTGGATGGCCATCTGTCAGGGGTGATTTGAATGCAATATTCCTGCTTCTTGGCAGAATGGGGTTGGACTGGATGATGGCCCAGGAGGTCTCTTCCAACTCTAGGATTCTATGAGGCTGGATGGCCATCTGTCAGGGGTGATTTGAATGCAATATTCCTGCTTCTTGGCAGAATGGGGTTGGACTGGATGATGGCCCAGGAGGTCTCTTCCAACTCTAGGATCCTAGGATTCTATGAAACCCTCAGGCTACCCTAAGCTAACTAACTTCTTCTCGTTGAGGACTTGAGACTTGGGCAGTGAGGGGTTGAATCCACCCCAGCCCGGCCCTGCCAGCCGCACCAACCCCTGGCTTCTGAAAACCAGAAATGTGCTGCGCCACTCATCCGTGCGCACAATTCATCATTGGGAATGGGTCTGTGGCAGGCAATGGCCCGTCTTCTTTGCCCTAATGGCCCTTGATGCAAATGCAAATGCTTTCTCACCCGTGGATTATCCCCTGCCGCCCGCTCATCTGCTTCCTCAGAGAGAGGGAGAGCGCACACACGCCTGAGCTGGATTTATGTTCTGCAATCCCCAGCCATTATTTAACAAGTTGTTTTGATATTTCAATGCCTTGCAACTGGAGGCTCTGCCCAGGGAAGCTTGGCCAAGGTGCCCTCCGCCTCCACGCCTGCAAAGACCTTTCTATCCGGGAAAGAGGGAGCTTATGCCCAACTTCAGAGAGCGGCTCAAGAGCGGCTTGGACCAAAGAGGAAGGCGAGGGCAGCCAGCCTTCAAGGCAACCCACATGAGGGGACTGGGGGGGGGGTTGGAGAGAGGGGCGCGAGGGGCCTGACCTGACGTAGAGGGAGCGCTTCTGGCTTGTCCGCAGGGAGCCGGACCCCGAACTGATGCTGCTGTTCATCATCTGCTCCCGCAAGTCGTGGATCTTGGCCTCAAAGCGGCTGTATTCTGCCAGGAAAGAGGGCCAGGGAGGAAAGAGAGAAAGGAGGAGCGCCGGGGGTTACAATATAATATTAACAATAATAAAACGAACAAAATCTGGCTACCAGTATTAAAAAAACTCTAAAATTACAACAGCAAAACAACAGAGAGGGAACAATCAGGGACATCTAATCACCTCTCAACAAAAGATTGCCCAGGCACTAACAAGCCACACCAAACAACACTAACAACACTAACAAGCCACACCAAACAACTGCCGGGCCATCAAATGCTAATCAAGGTGGTCAGTTGAAACATTCACACCCAGCTCCAACAGACAAGAGTCCTTTGTCCCACCCTGGTCATTCCTCAGATATATAAACCCTTTTTCCTTGTTCCAACAGACCTCACTACCTCTGAGGATGCTTGCCATAGATGCAGGTGAAACATCAGGAGAGAATGCCTCTAGACCATGGCCGAAAAAACCTACAACCCAGTTATTCCGGCCATGAAAGCCTTTGACAATACAATAATAAAACTTTGTTTATATACCGCTCTATCTCGCGTAGGGGATGGAGAGCGGTTTCCAAATAGCAAAACATAAACACATTATAAACCAATCCCACCAGTTCAGGCAGGGTTTTTTTGGGGGGGGGGCAGGGGGGGGGACAAGATTCTGGAAAGAGGAAGATATTCTTCCTCAAGCAGGACAAGATCCACTTGCCTTCTGGGCGGTATTGGGCCACAATGGTGACCGTCTGGCCCGCATTCTTCAAGGCAGCGGCTGCTTCTTCGTGGGTGGCTGCTTTCATGTCAGCACCGTTCACCTGCGAGGGAAAAGGGAATGAGGCAGGAGGGCCCATGGCACGGCCTTCCCCAGGTGAAGCAGAGAGGGAGGGGGGACTGCGGGCCAGACCCCCCAGGCACCCCTTCCCCAGTGGCCTCTGGGCTGTGCTTCTTGGTAGGGCAAGGGCCCAGGACATGGAAGGGGAGGGGTCCCTGCTGCCTCCTCAGTGCCCCCGTCCCCCTGAATTGCTTACCGAAATGATGCGGTCCCCCTTGCGGAGCTCCCCGCTCAGGTCTGCAGGTCCCCCGGCCAGGATGAAGGAGACGAAGATCCCCTCCCCGTCCTCGCCGCCCACAATGTTGAAGCCGAGCCCCGTGGAGCCCCTCTGGAGCACCAGCCGCCGAGGCTCCCTGTGGGGCGGGAAGAAGGGCCACAGGTAGAAAGAGGAGAGGAGGACACACTCAGGGACCGAGGGCAGGAACTCAAGGCCGCAGCCCAACAACCAATAATGATAATAATAATAATAATCTTTATTTATACCCCGCCACCATCTCCCCAATGGGGACTCGGAGCGGTTTACATGGGGCCAACATGTTACAGCAAAATAAAACCAAAACATAAACAACAAGCAAGATCATCAAAGAGCAAACCATCTGGTTTGCAAGTGAGGGAAGATCGGAACTGGGAGCCATGACTGGCCCCAAGTGGGCTGTGGGGCCCGGGCCCAGCTGCACCGCCTCCTTCTTCCCTGGCGGCACACAAATTGTCTTTACTAATAATATAATATAGTATATTGTATATACATATGATATTTATAATATTATAATGTAATACAATATAATACTAGTAACAATAATTCAATATTATAATTATAATTATATATTTACATTACATGTAATATTACTAATAATATTACAATATAATGGTATAGTGCAATATAGTAATATATATTGATATTGTACTATGCTCATAATATAATATATTGTATGAAAATATATATTGTAAGCTGCTCTGAGTCCCCTTCGGGGTGAGAAGGGCGGCATATAAATGCCGTAAATAAATAAATAAACCCCCAGGCTGGCTGCGTCCCCCCATTCCCGCCCCCCCCCCATTCCCTCCCTCGGTGGGGCTGGCTCCTCCCTACCTGGTGACCTCGTCGTCTCCCAGCATGCCCTTGGGGGTCGGAGAGTACCTCCCGGGCGAGGGCGAAGGCGCTGGCGGAGGGGTCTGGCCCAGGAAGCCCGAGGGGGGCCCAACGTGGTTGTTGTCCATGGGCTGGCAGTACGCTGCAGAGGAGGAGGAGGAGGAGGGAGAAGGGGGTGCAGGGGGGGGTTACTACACCTTGGCTGATGCCTCCTGCAAAGAGGAAGGGGTGTCAGGATTTATTGAGTTATGTATGTGTTTTAAAGGTGCTTCTATGTATTGCAAATATGGATGCCACTGAGATTGGAAAATGCTGTGCAGAAATGTTTAGAATTGAGGCTGTGATTAAGTGAACTTGAGAAAGTAAGAAAATCTGGCTACCAGTATTAAAAAACTCTAAAATTATAACAGCTAAACAACAGAGAGGAAAAAACCAGGCACAGATTAACACCTCCCAGCAAGAGATTTTCCCAGGCTCAGGCAGGCCTTTAAATGCTAATGAAGGTGATCAGCTGAAACATTCACACCTAACTGCAGCAGGGAAGAGCTCCTTGCCCCACCCCAGCCATTCCACAGATATATAAACCCATTGTCCTAATTCCAACAGACCTCACTACCTCTGAGGATGCTTGCCATAGATGCAGGCGAAACGTCAGGAGAAATGCTCTAGAACATGGCCCTATAGCCCGAAAAAACCCACAAGAACCTAGTATTCAGAATGTTCTTTGATTGTAGGCTTTCCACCCTCTAGCAAGAGAAGATAAGCAGATGTGAAGAAGGGTTTTGGATTTCGGTCTTGACTAGTTCTCTTCCTGAATGTCGCTCGCTGAAGTAAGATGTGTTTGCTGTGTGTGCTTAGTAAAACTTACAGTATATTCTGGCGTATAAGACTACTTTTTAACCCAAGAAAATCATCTCAAAAGTCAGGGGTCGTCTTATACGCGGGTGTAGTCTTATGCATGGGAGTTGTCTTAACTCTATATTTTAACTGGAAAAGTTGGGGGTCGTCTTATACGCCCAGTCGTCTTATATGCCGGAATATACGGTAGTTTTCTTTTGTAACTCAAAGCTTGCAGAGTCCTTATTGGCAACTCAGTGTCTGTTTGATCTAGCATTCCTTCCACTGGGCATCGTCAATCTCTGGCAAGGGGCTCCTGGAGAACATGGCCCCCACATTTCACATTTCTGAGGGGCGCCCCCCCCATATTGACGACAAGTGACTTTCAGGTTGTCCTACAGTTCAAGCTGTTGCTCGAGTAAGTACGAGGCATCACGCTATGTGCAAAAGGCAGCCTGAGTGCATTAATCTCTCTGCCACATAATCCTTAATAAGCACATCATAGATCATCGAGAATAACATCCCGGCATTAAGGGAAGGCGGCATTGGCATTCGTTCACAGGACGGAGCCCTCGAGAGATGCAACGCGTGCCTCTCAGTGTGCCTTGGCTTTGGTGGACAGCCCCTCAGCCCCCCCCCTCCAGGCTCCACCTCCCACCGGCTGCGCCCTTCCCCTTTGCCCCTCCCTCCCTGGCCACCTTTGCCCCCGCCCCTTCCCTGGCTGGCCGAGCAGACGGGGACCCACGGTCCTATTCTTGGCCAGGCCATGGGGTGGGGGTGTCTCAGGAGGGGCGAAGGGGGCGGACTCACAGTTGGCGAGGTCCGCGGGCTGGGCGTAGCTGTCGTTCATGAACATGCTGGTGGGCTTGGCGACCTTCAGGTAGACCAGGTCGGAGGTGTTCTTGAGGGCCGTCACGGCCTCTTCGTGGGTCACTTCCTCCAAGCAGACTGTGTTCACCTGGAAGGAAGGAAGGAAGGAAGGAGATTGGCCTTTGCTGAAGCCCAGGAGGACAATGGCGCCACCCCAAGAGGAGCCACATGCAAAGGGCCAAGGAGCCCCAACTAAGGAGGATGCCACACCAGCCAGAGTGGGTTCTCTCCCCCTCTCCAAAAAGGAAGAAGGAAGGGCCAGGGGCAGAGGGGCGGCCTACTCACGGCCATGAGCTTGTCTCCGATCTGGAGCCTGCCGTCCTTGTGTGCTGCGCCACCTTCGATGATTTTGGTGACGTAGATGCTGTTGTCTCCAGGAATGTGCTGGTTCCCGACCCCGCCGGCAATGCTGAACCCGAGCCCTGCATGAGGGAGGGAGAGAGGGAGGGAGGGGGACATCAGCAGCCCCTTCCCCAACTGGCCTGGTGGGGCTCCGTCAGAGGCAACTGAGGAGGCAAGGGCCCGGAAAGCAGACCAATGGACAGAGTGGCACCTGGTGGAGGGTTTTGGGGGCAAGGACCAGGCATGGACTGCAGGGAAAGGGCACTGGTGGCAGAGTAAGGAACTCTGCACAGTACGGCTGGGGTGTAGGGTGGGGTGGGGGTGCGATCCCCTGAGGGAGAAAGCAAGGTTTCCTCTGAGGAAGGCCGTTCTGCCACCCTGCCCCCCCCCCAGGCGCCCTCCTTGCCTGCCCACCCACCTTTGGGGCCCTTGACCAGCTTGATCTCCACAATCTTCTCCGTGACTTGCTTCCGCCGCTTGATGTGCAGGCGCACCATGGAGCCGGCCTCCTTCAGGGCCTCCACGGCTTTGCTGTGCGTCACGTCCCGGACGTCCACCTCGTTGACGCGCAAGATGCAGTCGCTCACCCTGCGGCCAACAGAGCAAAGCCCGTCAGGATCGCGCTCCAAGCCTGGTGGCAGCAACCACTTCCTCCGTCCTTGTCCTTGCCTGCCCCCCCCCCATCTGAGCAAGGGATTCCTGGGATTCAGGAGCATTGGGGGGGGGGGCTCCCAGAGAGGGCAAGGGCCACTTCCACCCCAGACCAGGGGCCCTCAGGGCCAAAGCAGGACCAGGAGGCAATGCGGAAGCAGCTGCCAAAACAAGCAAGGGCCGGCAGAGGCGTTTCGGCCCCCCACGTACCGCAGCCGACCATCCTGAGCGGCCGCCCCTCCAGGGATGATCTTGGTGATGAAGATGCTGGAGTCGTCCTCAATGTGAGGGTTGTCCGTCCCGCCTGCGATGCTGAAGCCCAGCCCCGAATTGCCCTGGGAAGAGCAGAAAAGTCCTGGGGGGTGACTCCTCTGTGGGGCAGGCGGTGCTCCCTCCCGCAGGTCCTCCACAGCACTGCCACTCAGGAGGCTCTGTGGGGAAACACCCAAAGGCCTGCTGCCTCCTGGAGTGGGACATGGCAACCTTCTTCTTCAAGCCTCCACTCTAGTGACTCGTTTGTATAGGATTCTGTTTGTATTGTGTCTCTGTGTTTTGGTATGCAGCTTTCCCTTTACTCTATGTTTCCTGAGGTTGTGGGAGGGGCTGCAGAACACACAATCAGATCTGGGACTACTCAGACACCATCGGGTGCCATGGCTTTGGACTGTTAAGAGCCAACTCATGCTGCTGTTGACTGTCAGAAAGATGCCCTGTGCCTTTCCACTTCACATCTTCTAAGTTATGTCCCTGTATGCTGAATACGTGAAGGTTGTATATATGTCACTTTTAGCAGATATGTCACTTTTAGCAAAATCTACTTTGTTTTTGCCTCTTGAGAGAATGATATAGAAGCAAGAGGTTTTAAGGGAGCCCCAGGTGGCGCAATGAGTTAAACCCTTGCAAAACCAACAGATTGGAGGTTCGAATCTGGGGAGAGCTCCCTCTGTCAGCTCCAGCTTCCCATGCAGAGACATGAGAGGAGCCTCGCACAGGGATGGTCAATTGTCAATCATCCGGCTGTCCCCAATGCTCTCACACCAGAAGAGACTTGCAGCTTCTCAAGTTGCTCCTGGCACGAAAAAGACCAACAGATTGGAGGTTCAAATCCGGGGAGAGCTCCCTCTGTCAGCTCCAGCTTCCCATGCAGAGACATGAGAGGAGCCTCACACAGGGATGGTCAATTGTCAATCATCCAGCTGTCCCCAATGCTCTCACACCAGAAGAGACTTGCAGCTTCTCAAGTTGCTCCTGGCACGAAAAAGACCAACAGATTGGAGGTTCAAATCCGGGGAGAGCTCCCTCTGTCAGCTCCAGCTTCCCATGCAGAGACATAGGAGGAGCCTCACACAGAGATGGTCAATCATCCATCACCCGGCTGTCCCCAATGCTCTCACACCAGAAGCGACTTGCAGCTTTTCAAGTCGCTCCTGGCACGAAAAATAAAAATAAATATGGGAGAGGAGATATTTTTGGGCACTGAAAAAAAAACACCTTTGAAGAACTGCTATATTTGGTGCATTGGCACAATCTCTGTTCCTCACAGATCAGAGACAACTAAGTGATCAGTCCTACAACGGAAAGCCACATTGCCTTGCATAAGTACGTGTGGACGTATCCCTTCGGAGAGAAGATTGGACTCAAAGGGGTTTTCTGGGAGGTCATCCTTCTACAAAAGGGTATGATTTCCAAATGGTTGGGAATGCCATTTTCCTCCCAAAGGCTATGGGGATTCCAAAGAGACCCGCCCCAGGAGATGTGCCACTGCCTGCCCCCTTTTTTGCCTTTGGGGAGGGGGGGGGGGG